GCCTCTTGGGGGGTCTCTTGGGGAGTTTTGGAGGTGTCTTGTGCCGTCTGGAGGCCATCTTGTGTGTCTTGGGGCGACCTTTCGGCGACGCGGGGCCCTCTTGGACCGTCTTGGGGGCCTCTCGCGGCCCTCTTGTCCCGTCTTCGTGCCCTCCTGGGGCCCCGCAGAGTCACGCGACAAGATGGCGCCAGAGCCCAGAGGGCACGCCCGGGAGCCCCGCCTAATCTTGCAGTTGGGGGGGGTGCCGGCCCCTGGAAGACGCCTCGGGACCGGGGATTGCGGCCCCAGGGGTTGGGCAGAGGAGTTGAGGACACGCCCACGCTGTTGTCTCTCTCTCTCTCTCTCTCCCTTTTTTTTTTTTTTCTCTCTCTCTCTCTCTCTCCATATATCTAGAAGTTTCTCTATTTTTGTTTTGTTTTGATTTTTTCTTCTTCTTCTTCTTTTCTCTCTCTCTCTCTCTCTGCTTCGCCAGCCACCCACCGCCTGGCGCTTTCTGCTGAGATGAGGGCCATCTGTCGATGCCTCTGCAGGCGCATCGAATAGCAGGAATGCCTGCCAGCAGGTGCCCTACGGAAATGTCAGGTCACCCCGACGGCACCATGGACCCGCAGAAGCTGCGGGGCATCTTAGGACCCTCAAGTATCGACGATGAATGTGCCCCAATAGTTCTCATAGCACGACGTCTTATCGTATCTGTCTGCCGGAGCGCACCTTGGGAGAGGTCCGCGGAGCAGTGGTTTCGTTATTTGTTTGTTGCCCGATCCGACTCCGCCGTTCGGGCGATCCGATGCGACTCGTTGCTTTGATGGCGCCGTGGGGCATTCTGGCGCAGCTGCTCCGAGATTGTCGATTTCGATCCTGCCGCGCCGATGCGGCCCGATCCAATGCACACTGCGATCCGACCCGATTCACCGATTCGATGCTGACGGATCCCGCTTGTGTGCCCCCTTTTCGGACGGGGCCAGGACGAGGATCAATCGTTTCTGGAGCGCTCTGAGAAGCCCGCGGCGCCCGAGACATCCTCCACAGCCGCCGGATCCCAGAAATCCTCGATTCATCCTCACCCGAATTTATCCTCGTCCTGGCTTCGTCTTCTGCGCGCCTTTTTTTTCTCTCTTCCCCCCCCTAACCACAGATCGCCACTCCAGCTGTCGAGCAGAGGCGAGGCGTCCTGGCTTGCCCATAGGCCCACCAAAACATGTTGCAAGAACCTGTTGTGGATTGCGCGGGGTTTAGTGTGTCTGGGAAACGCCCTGGGCGTTTCTGTATAGTTTCCAGCTTTCACTCAAAAACACGTTTTTCAACATTTTCTGGCTTCAGTTGTTTGGGCGTTTCCAGGTCTCTGCGGCGATGCGTTTCTTGATAGTTTCCAGCTCCGTTTTTTCATCGTTTCAAGGTCTGCCTCGCGACGTGCTGTGCTGTATCCGGTATTGTTTGGTTTCAGTTTGGGCGTGCATTGGCAATCACCAAGCGGCAATGAGGCAGCGGGCGGCAGCAGCAGCAACAAGCAGCAAGATGCAGCGGGCAGCCGGGAACGGCAGACACGATCAAGCAGGGAGTCGGCGGCTGTAGCGGGCAGCAGATGTACCAGAGAAGCCTTTTTCGAGAGAGTGTGTCGAGCGTCGCTTGTTCACCGACCTGTCTTTCTATACTTTCCAGGGGACCGTTTCCAGGGGACCGTTTCCTTTTTATAGTTACAGACTCGTGTTTGAATCGTTTCAAATTGATCGCGCGGAACTTGTTTTGATACTTTCCAGGGCACGTTCTTTCATCGTTTCCCGGTGCCTGCTTTTGGCTCACAAGACATAAATGTTGGAAGCTATAAAGAAACGCCCAGGGCATTTCCAAGACAACATGTTCGGCTGGGACTGATTGGTTTCCTTCCATCGGGTGTATGTCCTAAGAACATTGTTTGCGCGCTTAGAATCATTGTCTGATTCTCAGAACATTTCGTGGTAGTCCAATCGGGACGGTCGGTCCCTGTTCAAAGTTGTTCCTTTCAGGGAAGGGCGAGCTGGGACCACGGTAGGGGTCCCCTCGTCGACACGGCTGAACCAAGGGCGCCCTCGAGGGCGCGAAGTGATTCGCGCTTCGCGCTTCGGCTCCTCCTCCTCTTCTCCCATCTGGGGCGGTGCGAGAGCGTGAAGTTGGACGCCCTCGTCAACGCAATTCGGAAAACCAGTGCGTCTGGACCCCAGGAATTTCTGGAGACCGATTCGGAGTTGTCGTGGCCTCAACTCGACCTGCTCCGATCCCTTCATCCCCCCCATCCCTGGGATGCAACCCCTGGGAGGTGAGGTCTGGCATCGTCGCGGGGATGTCCGTGGTCGGAAAGTGGCCCAATCCCGTGGAGTTCCGCCCAGTCCCGCGCAGTCCCGCTCAATCCTGGGCTAAATCCGGCGTGATTTTGACACCTCTTTGTGAGTTATGCCGAAGGAAGAATTTGTCTGAGCTCCACGCGGACTCCTTGGATCGGCGCTGGCCCCCCCCCCCCCTCCTTGGTGCGCGGAGCGCGCCAGTGGCGGTGCCAGAAGCGCCGCCAGAGGGGTCCAGCGCCGATGCAACGACTCCGATCGGACCACCGACCGGTCACATGCCATTGTCCGTTTTCGTTCCGGCGCCCCCGCCTGTTGGCAGGGCTGCGCAGCCCAATGTCTCCATTCGTGGCTCCTCGGCGGCGACCACTCACCAGCTCCATCCTTCTGCTTCCCATCCGCCTCTCCTCGCCGTATTTCCTCTCGCGCTCTCCCTCCCGGGCGTGCTACAGAGGAAGCTGGCCAACCTTGTCGGTTCGGGGCTTCTGCACATCCCGCGCATTGGCGGGGGCAAATTTGGCCCAGCCGCGAAGCAACGCGGCGAATTGTGATAGTGTTTTTCATCCGTTGTTTTGCCGATCGCCGCGGTCTTTGCTGTTTTTGGCTCCTGTTTCGAGCAGGTGGGTGGAGTCTCCCCTCATGTGACCCAGTGCTGCAAACAGTTGAAATGTCGAAACGCCGAATAAAAGAACGATCACATTCGTGGACGCACCATTACCATTGCTATCACCGTGCCTTTTTCTGTACTCCATCTCCCTCCTTTCCCTCCTGTCCCTCTTTTGAGGTAGTGATCGGTGAATCAGTGGATGCCGAGTTAGAGAGCGTTTTTTTCCTCTGGCGGGGAACGCTTATTACCCGGCCCCCCCCCATCCCCCCAGGTAGCGCTGACGATCGTACGTTTTTTTGGGTTGGAGGGCGGACGCCCCTCCTCTCAGTAGGTACGGTATGGCGCTGTTCTCACAGGCACGGCGTGGTGCTGAAAGACATGTGTGGTGCTCACAAACGTGTTGTGGCGTTCGCAGGTTCCCCACCTGTTGCGGTGCCGAATTCACAGGCATGGCGTGGTGGTAAGATGCATGGTTCTTTGCTCGCCTGCCTGTTGCGGCGCCTGCAGGTTATTTCAGTGCGCAGACTTGTGTGGTTTACGTCTACATCCCTATTTTCTCTTCCCAAACTCTTCCTACGAATGGAACTTCGGAAGCCATGGTCCCAAGGGATTTCGCAGCCATGTCTGGGTGGGGCAACGTTTATCCTGCGTGTGCTACAATTGACGATAACGAAGGTGACGCGACGTCGAACGATGCCATGGTGCAGTTGTTGTATGACATAACATAACCCTACCTCCTCCCGCCTGCTCCACCGCCTAGTAACATCCCCCCTTTTGTCGTCGTCCTCTGCCCCTCCTCTTCCTTTTCCTCTCCTTTTCTGTTCCCTTCTGGATTGCGGTGTGCGTTACTGGGATTATATAAGTGGCCGTTTGGGGTATATGGGGCACAGCGCCCTTGCCCCTTCGCCTCGTCCTAGTAGGCTTTCGCTCGCACCTGTGGGCCGAATTTCGTGACATGTTCGTTGCGTGCTGGCGCGCGGAGGTACGATGTAGTTGTTCGCTCTTATCTGCTCAACTGCCACTCGAACAGAGCAGCTCGCACCCCCTTCCGACCTCCCCCACTCCCTCCCGCCTCCCTTTTCCCCCACCTCGCTCTCGAGTGTTTTCCTCCTCCCACATTTTTCAATGTCCTTTTGGGCCGTCACGTCCGGAGCAACTTGCGGATGGTATTGCCGAAACTTCACAGAGTGCCAGCCCCGCACCTTGCGTGCCATCGATACGACTTTCCAGGTGTTGCGGTGTGCACGGGCGACGTGGTGAGGGTTTCTGCGGCCTGTGGTTGGCCCCGCAATACAAAAGGCTTCGCTAACTACTGATGTGCCCGTTGGCACGTTTTGATGTAGACAGGCGTTGTGGTGCACGGAAGCATCGTGGCGTGCGCAAGCGCTGTGTGCACATCGCTGCTGCGGTGCACGCAGGCGCTGTGGTGTACACGAGCGCTCTGGCACACGCAGGCAATGTGGTGTACACGGGCTTTGCTGCGCACAGGTATGCTGCATCATGCAGATATTTTGCGGCGTACATGGGCGACGTTGTGGCGTTGTGCACGCAGCTGTTGGAATGTTCCGAAACACTGTTGTGCACTCAGGCGGCGCTGTTTTGCACGAGTGTATTTGGCACTGCCGCGTGCGCACGGATTGCAGCGCGCACGTGCAATTGATGTGCCGATGGCGCCGACCCACCCTGGCGGGCGCACGCCGTGGCCGCCGTTACCGTTACCCGCCGGCCCAGGCCCTTCCCCTCCCCGCCCGGTAACGGCCGTTTCCAAACATAAGAAGAAACAGCGTATTTTAGAATCGACATTTCTTCGGGCTCCGTCAGTCGCTGGCCTCGCGAAGCCGCCGCTCGTTGGTCGGCCCCGCGAAACGAGTACGAAACGAGGTTGGGCCCCCCCTCCCTGTGCAGCGCAAGGGGAGCCCTCACAGTTAACCTCTGCTCCGCTTTCCGCGCGCGCCAGGTTCAATTTGTTTTTCCCATCGTTTCTCGTTGAGGAGGGATGCGTTCTTCAATTCAGTTTGTTGTTCTTAGGCCGTCCTCTTTTTCACCCTCTCCCCCTCCCCATCGCCTTGCTCTTCCAGGCCAGCGACGCGTATTGCGGTACCTGTCGGCACCTCGTCCGCATGGGCCGCCGCGGGGATTGCCGGCAAACATCAGCAATCGTCACAGGTAACAGATACTTGGACGGAGGCGGATGCAGGGGGCGAGGAGGAGGACGAGCAGGCTTTGGTCTCTCAGCCTTTCCTGGCCCATCATACGACCATGTGGGATACCAGGAGGGTTTCAAGGGGACTCGCTAAGGGGACCTCGCGGAATTCCCCATATGGGCCAATCTTGAGTTCCCACGTAGGCAGCGCGTAAATGCTCAGAGCCCCGAGTCATCAGGGCTCGGGGCGGTCAGGAGTAACTACAGATTCGCGCCTCGGGGGGCCCAGCCAGAGTTTCCCCAGACTTCAGTTATCCCGGATAACTCGGTCGTCCAACCCTCCAGAATCATCAGGGCTGGGGGCAGTCAGGGGAACTACTGATTCGCGCCTCGGGGGCCCAAACGGGAGTTACCCCGGACCTCCATTGTCCCGGATAATTCGGGCATCCAAAAAGGCTCCCCGCCATGGGATTAAGCAGCGGGCTAACGCCATTCCGCTGACGTCCAGAAGAGGATGTGTACGGCTTCTTGTTTTGTATGCGTTGTTTGCCACTTCCCGACGTGTTGCTTGTGACGCCAGCCCTGAATGGGGACGACGACAACGTGACGTCGACGGCGACGACGGCGATGATGACGACGACGTTGACGCTGTGGAGCCGAAAGCTTCTCCCAGGGGTGCTCCCCTCAGGACCCCTCCCTTCCACTCCCGCCAGGATCCCCCCACACACACCCTGGCGGGGGAGGGATCAAAGAGAAGAGGCTTCCCTTCGACTCGATTACGGCGGTGCTCTCTTTCCCTCTGGCTGGAACGTTTGAGGAGTAGGTCTCAGGGAAAGGGGGGGGAGCAGCGACGGCGACGGCGACACCGACGACTCAACCGCAAAAGCGTCTCACACACGCCGACAGGGTCGGCGGATTTGTTGTTAATGCGTCTCCCTCTTCCTCCGCATCTGTTGCAGAGTCTTCCTGGAGGCCTCTTTCAGGCCTTGGGCCCAGGGCGCGGCCTCTTCTAGCCTTTTCATGGGCCCTGGGGCTTGCTTGGGCCGTTTGAAGACCTCTTCGCATGATTTGATCTCCCTCGCTCGGGAACGCCAGCCGCCTGAGCGGGGCATCTTCATACTTCCCCCCCGGCTTCGCTGGCACGGGGGAGGCAGCTGCGCGAGTTGGCTAGCCAGCCCCCCCCGTCACGGGCGGCCAAGCCGACCCCTGGCAAACCATCCCCTTCCGTGACGTCCTCCTCACCTCGCCCCACGACGTTCGCATGCGGCCAGAGGGAGGCCTGAAAGGCGAGGATGACGTCACGGAAGGGGGTGGTTTGCTAGAGATTGTTTTTGTTTTAGGGTCGGGCGATAACCCGGGTTATCGGGCTTGCCCCCCTTCCCCCTCTTCGGATAACCGAACCTTGCCGGTTGTGCAGGTCCGCGGGAGGGGGGGCGTGGGCATATGCACGGCTGCCCACAGCGCGAGGGTTGGGTTATCGGCCGGCCCCCTCCCCCCCCGATAACCCGGGTTATCGCCAATTCAAAAAAAATGGTCTCTTAGGGGCCGGTGAGGCCGCGCCCGACCCCGCTCTGCCATCCGCCCCCCCCTCGTCCGCAGGGGCCGCCACGAGGGCACGGATGCTCCACGGCCCGCGGCTCCCTCCGCCGCCGCTTTCTCTCGCGCGTCCCTCGGGCGAGCCAGGCCTCGGGAGAAAAAACACACAGCGAGCACGCATGCCACATGCATCCGTCAACGCCTCCCCCTCCCCCCCAAATGTCGCAGGCCTAGGGGTTGACACCAACACCAATATCGGCGGTGTGTCTCCACCGAGGGAAGAAGATCCCGATCTCGGCGATGGTGGTAATATTCTGGCCTTTAGTGTGGCCGAAATATTACCACCAACACCGACATCTAGGATCATCTTCTCCCTGTGGAGGCAAACCCCCTGTGTTGGTGATGGTGCCCATTTCCACGCCTCAAACAATGTTCAAGCTTGGCGGTGGGTCTGGTGAGCTGCATCTCGACCGCAGTCTTCCCCGCGCGTGCCAGCTTTGAGTTTGGGGGGGATGGGCAGTGTGCAGTAACTGTTTCCCCTCTACCGTCGCAAACATGGATCAAGGGGGCGAGGATTGGCGACGTGTCCGGTTTCTTGGGGAAGTCCCAGATTTCCGCCGCCGAGCGAGGCGGCACCGTCCGCATTTTGGGGAGGGCACCTCCCCCGATGCATGCATTCGGCGACCGCGCGCCAAGTCCATGGATCGCTGATCCATGTTTGCGCGCCCCCCAGCTCCCTCCCTCTCCTGCTCCTCGGCCTCCCCGCTCGTCGTGCGTCCGTTGCTGCTTCCGTGCGCCGCTCCTGCCCCCCAGACAGTCCTGGCTGACTCGAGGACGCCTGCTGCAGCTGCAGGAGGGGCAATCGGGGCTACATCAGTGCTCTGCACTGCGCAAGCAGCCCCGCTCGCGTGTCCTCCGCCGTGCCTGTCGTCGTCCGCCCCTCCCTCTCCTCTCCCTCGGCCTCCCGTCCCCGCTCTTCGTGCGTCCCTCTCTGCTCTCATGCCTCCTTCCTTGCCCCCCTGCTGTCTCCAGACCAGCGGTTGCGGTAGCAAAAGGAGCAATCGGGACATCATGCTCCATGTGCTCTACGCAATCAGCCCCGCAGGTAATCCCGCTCGCGTGGCCTCCGTCGTCTCCTTCGTCGTCCCTCCCTCTCTCTCCTCTCCCTCGGCCTCTCGTCCCCGCTCGTCGTGCGTCCCCTCTCTGCTTCCTTGCGTCCTCCTTTCTCCCCAGACGGCCCGAGAAGTCTCCAGGCCAACCGCTGCAGCAGCAGATGGAGCCCAGGGCTGGACCCAAACGCTGCTTTGCTGGACTGCGCGCCGCCTTCAACTTCGCAATCATCGAGCGCGACGCCGATGTCCTGACCAAGGAAGAGGTGCCCAGGCTGCGCAGAGAGGTGTCCGCAGCCATCCTCGCAGACCTTCCGCTCTTGGCGAAGTACACTCGTTTTGAACGGCGACCGCTCAAGGGCGCCCGAAACGTCATGGTCTCCAGGCGCGATTTCGAGCGGAAGCACCGGAAGGGCCCCGACGGCAGGACCGCGCGGATCATCCAGCGCCGCGTGGCGCTCAGAGGTCGGAGGTGTCCGCGACGCGGGCACCGGCGCCCTGGGGGCGGTCGCGTGGGCAGCCAACTGCGCCTCGCAGCGCGCTCTGTCCACGGGGGCGGCGCGCCGCCTGGACTGGGTTCGCGTCGCCGTGGACAGCGAGACGGCGTTCATGCGCGGCGCGGCGCGCGCCGAGATGCGGGATCAAGGCGAACCGCCGCGCGAGGTGAATTCCACCCCGGCCACCGAGAGGACCGAGTGCCTGCGCTGCATCGAGCCGGGCGCGGGCTGCGAGGGCGCGCCCCGAGCCTTCTCCATGAAACTCGCCAGGGCCACGCGTCCACCAGAGTGCAACGTTAGGCCCGCCTGGTGGGGCCCGGGGGTCGAGGTCAAGAACGACGCGCCTGGCAACTGCGTTGCTGGCGATTCAAAGTTTGTGCTCGTTGTCCACCCGCGTCGGCTGTTTCAAGATCGCCGGACAAAAGGAGCGCGTCGACAAGCTCGTCGGCGACATCGATGGCAGTTTCAGGGAAATGACGGGGGACTACGACGACTTCGCCAACTGCGGCGCCCACTAACACTGCTGCCCCGACGGCGCCGCGACGCTCGACCAGGGCGAGTGCATCGACGCCTTTATACCGATTAGTCACGTTGACCTGGCCAAGGTGACGGCCGAGGAGCCCGCATGGGGTCAATTGCCCGACCTCTTTGTCTCCTTGCTGGGAGCAGACGCGCACGCCCCGCCTGCGCAGCGCCGCTTCGCAGCGCGCGCTGCGGCGCTGCAGCGGGCCGAGAATGAGTTGCTTATGCGACATGCTATGCAGTTTCATTCTGCGGCCCTCGCCACGCAAAAGTCCAAGGCGCGTCGCCTCTCCCGCCGAGGAACGCGCTGTCCAGATCTACGCACAGCGACGGGTCCTTCAAGAGGGAGGAGGAGACGGGGTGCGGCATGAGGGGCGCCGTCTACATGCGCTTCGGCAAGCGTCACAGCGCAGGCAAATCTCCATTCGGCGGTTCCGAGCTGCTCGCAGCATGCGGCGCAGCCGATGGATCGGAGGCCCACCTCCTCGCGCTCCGCGAGATGGCCCGGGGCTCAGTCTCCGCCGAGGAGATCGCCCAGTTGGGAGAGGCGGGAGGCCGCGCCATGCCAGCATCCTTGCGTGTTGATGGTCTGTCCGTCTTCGGGGCCATCGCCGTGGATCCCGCGCGCCCGTCAACTAGCTCCACCCCGCACCGGAATCCCTCTAGTTCATCGTTCCGAAGAGCTCTACGAGGTACTGGGCGCCGGTGGCAAGCCGCCAACCAGGCTTCCGCCAGGGGCCTCGCGAAGCTCAGCGGCAGCCGATAGTGCGGAGCCAGCCGATGCACACACGCAATATTCTCCGACTCGCCGATGTCGGGCACGGCCAGGACCCCAGGGAAACCGGTTGGTGGTAGGGCCCCGGAGCTTTTGAATTGGCCAGAGTCACTCAATCAGGTTTGCCATAGCTGGCGTTTTTTTCGGGCGACGGCAGTTCCGGTTAGTGGACATGGGACGGGGGGGCGCCCCCAGTACAGATCGCTTAACCAGGTTCCATTAAACCCAGTTCTGCCAACGCCCGACGATGGTTCCAGCACTCCAGCCGATGGGATTGCGATGGCGGGGCACGCTCAAAAGGAACGCCGCCAGCTCTGCGGGCGCCGTCGGAGCGCATCGCGGCTGGCCGCCCGCGGTGGCTCTCCGACCAGCTCCGCGCCAAGCAGATCACCGGCATGCCCTGGTGCGATGCCCGCGACATGAGGTCTGGCCCCATGGCGCCAGGGCGCGTCGGCCGGGGGCCGATCTTGGACGCGACGCGCGAGAAGCTGGAGCACGACCGCGCGGCGGTCAGACTGAGCGACGAAATGCGCGCAAAGACCGCGTCCGTTTTCCGCGCTCTTGTTGCAGCGAACTCAGGAGGGGCGAGAAGAATGCTTGACCGACGGGGTGGGCAGCCCGGAGTTTTGCCATCTGTAGATCGGTCGCAGGACGTTGCGTCGGCGGTCGTGCGTCGCGAATTGCGATCGCGAGTGCGACGCGGGGAGAGGCGGGGACAGTTCTGTAGCCCGCGCTGTTTTCGCGAGTGCGACGTACCAGGACGTGCGAGAGACAGCCGCACAGGCGAACTATGTTCGCAAATGCGGCTCAGCGGGTCACGCAATCAGGGGCTGCTTCTACGAACTGCGTTCCTGGGGCAGCAGGTTCTTGGCACGCAGCCCGCTAATCGTCATACTGCGCTCTTCCAATTGTCTGCCTTATCCGTTCCTCCATGTTGTTCCGAAGGGGCCTGGTCTGCAGAAGGCTCATGTTGAGATTCGCTTTCGGTCTCGGGATGCGTCGGCCTGCTTCGGCATGCTCTGGGAGCTCTGCTGGGCGTAGTTGTCGCTTCTTCCGCACGCACTTCAAAGCTGGTTTTCGGGGCTGGCAGCTTGGGGGCCGAGGTGCCTCGGGGCGACGCGAAGACAGGCAACTCCCGGAGCTTGCCGAAGTCATGGTTTTACATCCAGCTGCAACTGTTTATGACGCTTCGTTGGTCGCGGCGCTGCTACTGACTGGGCGCAGGTATACTCGTTGGAACGACAGACTCGAAAAGTCGCCTGCCAATCATTCCAGCTGCTTGCCCTGATGTTATCCTTTTTTCCGCCGCCCTCTTTTTTCAAGGGGGCACGTCGCCCGGCCATGCTGTGCGCCCTCATTCGACGCGCACTCATCGCGCATTCGGTGTACAAGCACATTCGATTATTGTACTTCCTTTTTTATAGTTTCTCGGCCTCCGTGCCAGTAAACCGGTAGCCCGCGTCCAAGGCTCGCCGTCACTATGTCGATCAGATTGCCCACGAACGTTTTCTACTGTGCAGAGCCTCAAGCTCGTGCCTGAGCGGTGGTGTGTTATTTTCGCTGCGCGACGGGTGGTAACCCTGTAGCATTCCTCCTTTCATCCCTCTTCACCTTCATCCCCCAACTGTTCCAGCTCGCCCATACTCCCGCGACTCAGCCTGATACGTTCCGGAAAATGTTTGCCACTACGCGGCCCCAGAGATCCTTTTCCTTTGGGCCTGCTTTTCGTCCCAGATGCACGTTTCCAGATTTTTGGGGCCCGATAACCGACTCCAAAGGCCGAAATCGAAGAACAGCGCCCAGATTGGTATAATCATACCCTTGGAGATTTGGGTCCCTCTCCCCTGTCCCTTCGTTCCCTGTCATCATTGGCGTCTGCCCAGGGGCGTTCACGAGCTGCGACAACTACTGTCAGAGTTTCGGGCAGTTGTGCTTCCGGGCGGCGCAGGACAACAGCGCGAAGGTCGGGCAAGGTCCGTGCGAAGTGCAGAAGCAGGCGGCGGGCAGCTGGTCGGGGGAGGAGCAGGCAGGGTTCGAGCGGTAAGGTTCTAGATTCGACGCACGAGGTTTTCTCACGCTGTCGCTGGCTCCTGGCAGTTTTGCAACATCGGTATGCGTTCCGTCAGCTGCGGCTTGCCGAGAGCGTTCTTGGGGTGCCCAGGTCGTACCGAAAGGTGGCGGACAACCGACTTATGAAGCCACACCAAGGGGCACCGTTACGGAGAAGAAATACCATAATACAAAAGGAGGCCCGAGTTCAGCAGGAGTGCGCGTAACAGAAATTATAGGTTACGTACGGAGGAGGAGGAAGAGGAAGAGGAGGAGGAGGAAGAGGAGCATGAGGAGGAGAGGAGGAATGTCGGAGGGAGGATGAGGGGGACAGGCAAGGGGGAGAAGGAGGAGGAAGTGGGCAAGGGGGAGAAGAAGGAAAAGGAGGAGGAAGTGAGAAGGAGGAGGAATGGGGGAAGAAGGAGGAGGGAGGCGTGTTTTCAGCGTTTCCTGGTCAGACCAGTGGGAAGTCCGAGGGGGGACGACCAACAAAACATTGAATTTGCCCATGTGAATGGGATTTTAGCAATCGCACCCTCATCTTGTATGAGTTGAGATGTGATCATATTCAGTTGCGCTTTCAGGTATTACCATGTTGGCCATATCGGCATCATGTTACATTGTTTTTGCATGTCCATCAATCGCACTAAGTTTCCTCGCCACGTACCTTGAGAGTTGGAGGTGGCCGACTCAGGCGTGTTGCCGCAATTCGGAGCTACTTGGATCTGTTTCTCGGAGTCTACAGAACCCATCCGTAGTTCTGATGCAAGGCTGTTTTCTGGTAGCTACATCGTTCGGCGGCCAACACGTGGGGAAGTGAGAAGGGGCGGGCCTTCTCAGAAGGCTCGGAAGTCCTCCAGCCTCCTGAGAAGTGTTCTAAGCCTTCCCCGGAGACGCAAGAAACGTATCAGAAGATCGGACGGGCTTCTGAGAAGCCCCGCCGCCTTCTGAGGTGGCCTTCATCTTCTCGCTTCCCCCCTCGCTCGCTCCTCCTCCTCCTCCTACCTCTTCTCCTCCTCCTCCTCTTCCTCCTCCTCCTCTTCTTCCTCCTCCTCCTCCTTCTCCTCCTCCTCCTCCTCCTCCTCCTCCTCCTGCTCCTCCTCCTCCCAGTCGTTTCCCCTCGGGGCGGGGCCCGGGGATCCGCGCGCGGACTTGGAAACGACGTGCGCGCGGGGGCCATGCAGCAATGATCCTTCGCCCGCCTTGCTTTGCCCGCCCACCTGCTTGCCTGCGTCGGCTGCCAGGACGCCCTGGCTCGCTTCGCGAGGAAGTTCGGGGAGGAGGGGCTGCAGGTTGACGAGGTGCAGGTCACGCTGCTTAATGGCGGGTCAGGAGGTGCCGTCGAACGCCAGGCCGCTAGTGAAGACGGACCTCGCGGCGATGGGGTTGGGGTATGGCCCGTTGGCGGCGCAGTCGTTGGGCTACGGGCCCCTGCCGAGGCCCAAGGACAACGCCGAGCAGCTGGCGGTGCTGGAGAAGGCGCCAGAGGCGAAGGACGGGAGACCGCCCTGGCGGACTCGGCCGCGGACGCCGACGCGGAAACCCAGCGGTCAGGCCAAGGAACGCGCCAAACTGCTGGAGGCAGGGTGGGTCCTGGTGGGCGAGCAGTGGCACACCACGGAGCGCTTCAGGATCCAGGCGAAACCGATGGCGGCCGCGGGCAGGAATGGTTCCGACGACGCAATCGCAGCAGGCGTTCGACACGATGGTGCATCAGTTTTCGGAGAAGCTGGACGACACCTGTGGGCGCAGCCAGGAAGTGAAGGACGAGGAGGAGCCGCCGCACCAGCCCACCCCGTTCGAGGTCGTGGACCGCGAGATGACGGAGGCGGTGCACAAGCGACGGAGGAGCCCATCTTCGTCGTCCAGCGGCTGGGGAGTGAAGTGGAAGCGGCCCAACCGCGCGACCGCGGCGAAGCGGAGGACTGCGCCGCCATATGGGGGGGCGACGGACTCGAGACGTTCCACTTCGCCCCGCAAGGGGGACAGGTGGACATCGCCAAGAAGGATGTCAGCACGATGGAGATGGTCCTGGACGCTGCGGAACTCGTGGAGTCGTCTGCAGGACAGGACGAGGAGGCGCTCAGCGCCCCGCGAGGGGATCAGGGCCACACCTTCAACGCGCGGAGGGGGCCCGAGATCCTTTCCATCGCGGACCAGGAGGTGGCTGGCGACGACGATGGCCTGAACGGCTGGTACAAGGACGAGCAAGGGGATGAGGTGCGAGCGGTGGTCTCTCGGGGCTTGGCCGCCGTGCCGCCGTCCCCCGTGCTGGATGGCTGGCTGGGCGGAGCTGCGTGCCGCCAACGAGGAACTCTTCATGAAGCAGGCGGCGGCACTGGCGGCACAGCGCCTCAGGACTGACGCGGCGGTGCAGGTCCAGCGCGCCGAGGGCCAGCCTGGCCTGCCCACCATCAAGGAGGAGGCCGTGGCTGCGATGGAGCGGCAGCAGGTCGAGGGCATCCTCGACGCCTTGTCCATGGACGACACCGAGGAGGACGCCAAGCTCCTGGGCGTCCCCATTCAGGATTTCATTGAGTGGCTCGTCGACTCCTACGGCGAGCCGGTGCGGGACCACACTCAGGAGTAGGAGCTCTCGCTGGGCACTTTTTGTCTGCCAGTTTTGGTTGGTGGGGAGGCACCCTTTTCTCCCCCGTAGGCCGCGGGTCTTCGGGGGGCCCCCGGTGGTTCCACGGCGCGCGCGGCTCTTCTCTCCCGTCTCTAGGGAGGGAATGGCTGGCCTCGCCCAGAGGGGCGAACCCTTGGGTTCGTCGCTCCCGTTCGTGGGCCTGCTGGCTCCTGGGGTCGGGCCTGGTGCCTGGCCTGGGCCCATTTGCCCATTTGGGCCTGCCGCCCGCGTGGCCTTCGGGGGGGGGTCGGGCGTCTCTCCCGTGGGCGGCGGCGCCGCGGCCACCGTGCCGAGCGAGCGCCCCCAGACGCTCGAGGTAGTCTTCAGTTTTCAGCCTCCTCCTCCTCCTCCTCCTCCTCCTCCTCCTCCTCCTCTTCCTCCTCTTCCTCCCTCTTCTCTTCCCTTTCCTCTTCATCCTCCCTCTCTCCTCCTCCCTTTTCTCCTGCTCCTCCTCCTCCTCCTCCTCAGCAGGGCCCCCCCCGGCCGCGCAGCTGCTACGTCCCTTCGGGGGTCCCGCCGCTGCGCGTCGAGGAAGGCCCTGGCAGAGCCCCGGTGTCGAACGGGCGGCGCCATGGCTGCTGCAAAACTGCCAGTGCGACAGCCGCGACAACCATCCGGCCTCCCTCCGTGCAGGCTCGTCAGACGATCGGGTGTTGCTAGAAGTACCCCGGGCCCAAGGTCCCCCCAGGATTTTCGGGGTGGCCCAGGCGGTAAAAGTGCCCCTGGTCCAAGGTGCCCTCAGCGTTTCGTTTCATGTTGGAGCTCCGGAGGCCTTCGGGGCCCCGTGAAAGGTTCCCCGGGGGCCGCTGTGGCCACCCCAAGAAACCTGGGAGTGCTCTGGCCCAGGGGTACTTCTAGCAACACCCGAGACGAATGAACGAGGTTGTGAGAGAGATACCCGTCTTGGAACGACCGTCCATCTTTGTAAGTCGCGCAATTTTTTACAGCGAGTCAGCGCGGCGTTACGGCGATTGACCCAAACTGAAAAGACCAGGCCTCCATCCGCGTAGCTCCCGCAAGCTATTGCGAATGTGCGCGGCGCTCCTGCGCGAGCCCAATGTTGCAAAGGACGCCTTCTGTATCCGTGTATTCGTTGGGTGTTCAAGTTTCGGGGTAGCTAGGTGTGAGCAAGTCAAGCAACCCGCCCAGATTGCCGCATCGAGGGACTAGTTTATGCGCAAGGCACAGGGGTGGAAGAGGCGGGAAGGAGACGGTGAATGAGGGAGACGGAGCGAAGGAGGGCATGCGGAGTCCGGGTTTGAGTCGGACGTGAAGGGAGCGAGGGAGGCATGGATTTGGATGTCACGGCATCGGCGCTGACATATCCGTGGTCGAAACCCTGCCCAATATGGTATAGTTCTGTTGAATTCCGCCTGATTGCTCCCGCTCGGTCTGGTTTGATCAGGCTTAATCCAGCTAGTTCGGGCCGATGGCCCTTGAGGCAGGTTTACCAGCTTGGAGCAGTTCGTCAAGCATGGAGAATCAGGCGTAATTAGTAGGACGGAGGAGGGGAGGATGGTGATGATGTTGATTAGTATGTTGCTGCTGCTGCTGCTGCTGCTGATGAGGATGATGATGATGATGATGATGATGATGATGATGATGATGATGATAATGATGCGGATGATGCTGATGATGTGGGTGGTGGTTGTGATAATGGTGGTGATGATGATGATATGGGGGAGGGAGGGGACGAGGAAGCGCTAGAGTGGAGCAGCGGCGAGTATGACGAGAAGTTACTGCGCGACGGGGTTGTGACATCGAGCTATAACGGCCGCCTGTGCGCGCGATCAGCAGCTTGGTGGCATTGGGCGCGCGCCTGGTGCCACGTCACGCCGCGCTCGGCTCGCGCGAGGTGGACTGCGGCGACACCCTGGACCTCGACGAGCTGGCATCCGACAACTCGTCCCTGGAGCGCCCCATCCCTCCATCATGATCGAGGGACAGCAGCGACATACACGTAGGTCTGCTGAGGTCCGCGCAGAATTCTTGGATCGGCGCTGAGGCCCCCCCGGTGGCGCCTCTGGCGCGCTCCGCGCGCCAGGCCAAGGGAAGGGCGTCAGGCGCCGATCCAAGACATCCGCACGACCTCAGCCAGATTTTGTTATGCAGACCCTCCTCCTAACCCCCTTCCTGTTCCTCCTCTCCCTTCTCTTCATCCTGGCTCGTGCGATCGCACAGCCTCACTGGGGCCCCATCTCCTGCCCAGACCCGACGTTCTGATTTTCCCGCAGCGTCGACCTTCGCAGGTTTGCTCGGAGGGTCCCTAGGCAGAACGTCCACACGACACGAAGGCTAAGGAAAGATGCAACATATTGACATATTGCATCGCGAATGCAAGCGCGCCGGCACACAGGGAGTACTGAAACCAGCGCCTCGCGTCAGACATCCTCAGAATCTGTTCCGAGAACAGATGACGTTACATTCCGAAACAAGCAAACCGCCTGAGACACCCCGACAATCTAGGCGCGAATCCAGGAGTGCCCCCCCCTGCCGCTCCCCTTTGGAGTGCTGAAATCAGAGCCTCGCTTGAATCTTCAGAATCTGCTCCGAAGGGCAGGCAAACCGCTTGACAGGCAAACCTTCTTGAGACATCTGCGTGCTAATCTTGGAGTGTCTCTTTCCCTAGCGCCCCCTCCTTGGAGTGCCCAAATGCTGTGCGTGCTATATCGCTGTGAGCAGTAGACTACTAATGAGTATGAGCGAGTCTGAGTCTGAGTGTGAAATGAGTCTGGGTGTGAGGTAGTCTGAGTGTGATTGGGTCTGAGAGTAAATGAGTCCAAGCGTGGGCGAGTCTGAGTGTAAGTCGGTTTGGGCGTACTGAGTCTGAGTATGATTGAGTCTGAGCTTGATTGAGTCTGACTATGAATGAGTCTGAGTGTGAGTGTGTGTCAGAGTATGAGTGAGTCTGATTGTGACTAAGTGAGTCACTCTGGTTGAGGAACAGGAGGCAGAGGAGGAGGAGGAGGCACAGGAGGAGGAGGAGGTTAGGAGGAGGCTTTGTTCTCGGAACCGTCTGAGTATTCACAAGAACTTCATCTTAGGAGATGGGCGAAAATGTGTAGCACCCCACAGTTGCAGATCAGAGTGAGGGGGCTTGCGAGGGTCGGGCCGCGGGTGGGTCGCGGGTGGGTCGCAGGTGGTTCGCGGATGGGTCCCGGTGTGGGTCGCAGGTGTGTTGCGGGTGGATCGCGGGAGGGTCTCAGGTGGGTCGCGGGCGGATCGCGGGAGGGTCGCGGGTGGGTCGCGGGGGGTTGCGCGGGCGAGGACGACGTCAACAACGCAATACTAACAACAGCAACCACAACAACATCAACAAGCAGTTTGATATTGTTCGTTCTTATCTGCTCGCGTGCCATTCAGCACTAAGATCCCGAACCCTCGATACCCGCCCTCCTCGTCCTCGACCGTACCCCCACTGTATCCGTCCTCGACCGTACCCGCCCTCTTCGTCCTCGACCGTCCTCGATCATCCTCTTTCTTACCTGCAACGTGTATTCCGCGCAGCCCTTGAGGCAGGGGAAGAGAGGACGGATGGAAGCAAGAACAAAGATGAGGAAGGAGGATGAAGCACGGTTTAGGAGCAGAAAACACGTGGCAGAACCAGACGGGCAGATCGGGCGGGTAGACCCCACCACGCGGGTCGGGAAGGAGGGCCCAGGCGGCCAGGTCGGGCTGGCGGGTTGCTCAAGCGTGCGTCCTGCATGAATCGCGAGGAAGTCTCGAGCGACAGCTCGATTCCCAAATCAATCGTAAGGAAATTCACAGCGAGAGCGTGACTCCTGAATGTCGAGGGCGCGGCGTCTGAATACACTGCGAGGAAGTCCAACGCGAGAGCGCGATTCCTGAATAGATTTGTGAAGAAGTCCCGCGCGAGAGCGCAATTCGGGAACACATCGTGAGGAAGTATCAGGCGGGAGCAGTTGTTGTTGTTGTTGTTGTTGTTGTTGTTGTTGTTGTTGTAGTTCGGGGACCAACAACGCAGTTTGACATTAGTGATTCTCTTTTTTTCACACAAAAAGAGGGTGCGAGTCCTGGGGGAAGCACTTGAAATGAAAAAAACATAGTCACCAGAGGGGGATCAACAACACTTACTCTGCAGTAGTGAGAGTTCAACAACGACGACAACAGCAACAACAACCACAACAACAATCATTTCAATATTGCTCGCTTTCACTTGCCCGCACGCCACTCATCACGAATATCCCGAACCCTTAGTACCCGCCCTCTTCGTCTTCGATCGTACCCTCCTGGCATGTAATTGGCGCAGCCCCTGAAACAGGGGAGGAGAGGACGGATTGAAGGGAGAGGGGGAAGGATGGAGCACGGGATTACAGGAGGGGAGCTAGGAGCAGAACACACGTGACAGAACATGACGGGCCCATCGGGCGGGTAGGCCCTACCGGGCGGGCTTTGAAGGCGGGCCCAAGCGGCCAGGTCGAGAAGGCGTTAATTCCTCTCAAAAACGCCCTGGGCGTTTATTTTACAGTTTTGCTGTTTGGGCTCTTGACAAGCTAAAAACGATGGATTGCGCGACCTTTTTTTGTTCATTGTTTTCGGTTTTCAGCTTAGTTGTTTTGTGTTGCTTCAGGCCCATCGCTGTGGATTATCATTTTTAGTTATGTCCCATCGAAGATCTAATAACGGGAAAGAAACAAAAACTGTCGAACACCGGTTTAGTACCGGCACGAAGCAGGCCTGGAGGCCCCATGGCCTTCAGAGGAGCAATCGGTCATCGGGCCAGGAGGCCCGACGCCCCAGGAGAGGCTCCGAGGACGGCGAGCAGTCGGATTGGGAGAGCCGGAGGGTTTAGGACTGCACGCCAGGAGAAGGAATTGATGACGTCGTAGAAGGCATTGTTAGACAACTGTTCTGAGAACGCAAAATAACGAAACACAGCTCGCAACCCACAGCAGTAACTGTTTTTTCGCGCTGGTCGTCTTTATTTTGGGACCAGGATGTCAGAACATGATTTCCAACACGCCGAGTTATAGACTGAACGAAAAAAACGCCCTGGGCATCTTTATAATGAGCCAAGCTGAAACGTGAGTACTGCATGAATGGCAAGGAGAGCTCGAGCGATAGTGCGATTCTCAAGTGCGAAGTGAGACAGACCAAAGCGAGAGAGTGATCCCTGAGTGTCGAAGGCGCGGCGTCTGAATACATTGCGAGGACGTCCCACGCGAGAGCGCGAGTCCTGCATGACTTGAGAGGAAGTCCCGCGCGCGAGCGCGATTTCGAAATACATTGTGAGGAAGTGTCAGGCGGGAGCCGTTGTTGTTGTTCCCCATATCTACAGTGTGGGGTTCTTGTTATTACTCTGACCGCGCCGACTCCTTCAGGTCACCTCCCCTCCTTCTCAGAGTATGATGATGATGGTTATGATGCTGATGGTGTTGATGACGATGACCGTGATGATGATGACGACGATGGAAGGCGATGCTGATGATGATGCTGATCATGATCATGATGATGAGGAGGAGGAGGAGGATGAGGATGAAGGTGAAGATGAAGATGCTGGTGATGATGACGATGACGATGACGATCATGACGATGATGATGACGACGATGATGATTATTATGACGATACTGATGATGATGATGATGATGATGATGATGGTGGTGGTGATGATGATGATGCTGATGCTGATGATGATGATGATGATGATGATGATGATGATGATGATGATGATGATGATGATGATGATGAGCAGATGCTGATGATGATGATGATGACCAAAAGGGGGCCAGACTGTGAGGATGTCTCGAGTGGCTTGCTGGCTTCAGCACTCCCAAGAGGGGCCGCTAGGGGTATCTCACGACCTCCGAGCACCCAGATTGCAGGGATTTCTCGAGCGGTTTGCCTGATTGCATGCCCAAGATCCTCCGTTTTCGGAGCAGATGCTGAGGATGTCTCGTGCGAGGCGCTCGTTTTCACCTGGCCAGACTCGTAGGCACGGATCCCCCCCCAGGATGTCACAGGAGGCTCCAGCAGGCTCCAGGAGGCCGCAGGAGGCAACAGGAAGTCCCAGGAGTCACCAGGAGGCCACAGGAAGATTCCAGAGGCCACATGATGCCCCAAGAGGCTCCAGGGGGCCACAGGAAGCTCCAGAAGATCTCAGGAGACTACAGGATGCTCCAAGAGGTCACAGGAAGCCACAGGAGGCCCCAAGAGGCCACAGGAAGCGCCAGGAGGCACCAGGAGGCCCCAGACTGCACCAGGAGGCCCCAAGAGACCCCATGAGTAGTAGGCCTCAAAAAGCCACAGGAGTGGCTCCAATAGAGTGGGCCTCCCCTTGAGCACGAATCCTTAGTGTTTTAGGTATGATTCGATAGATTGTCCTATTTCTGCGTGTCCAGTCCTGTGTGTTGTAGGTATGTGCCTATAGATTAGGCTTCCCCTGGGGAACGGGTCCTTGGTGTTTTACGTTATACATTGCTTTTCTTTTGCGGCTCCAATCCGCAGTGTTTTATGTACGTCTGTTCCTATAGATAAGGCCTCTCCTGGGGCACGAATCCTCCCCAGGATGCCCCAGGAGGCTCCAGGAGGCCACGCGAGGCCCCAGGAGGCTCCAGGAAACACCAGGAGGTTTCAGGAGGCCCCAGAGGCCCCAGGCTCATGCGCAGAGACGCGCTCGTACTTCTGAGACTCTTTCACACTCCAACCCGCTCGCAGCTAGATTCACTTCCAAACCATCAATACCCAAGCCCGTGAATACTCAAGTATTTTTGCTCCTAGAGAGTCACGGCGGACAGGCCCACGCTAATGGATGCACAGATGGGGAGCTCCACGCAGGCCATCTGTTGCCGAGGACTGTGGTATGCCCTTGGTGACCTGAGAACTGCTTTGCGGTGTCTTTTGGAACCGTCAGGGGCGGCCGTGGGGTGACCTTCAATCGTTTCAGGCCATTGTGCAGCTATCTTGGCCCTTCCTGA